CTGAACATTTCGAGGCTCAGTTCAACTGGCTCCCATCGGCATCTGACCTATTACCCTCCACCTCGAATGGTCAGATACTCCCAGTTGATGTCAATCCTCCATCTGAAATGGAGGTTTCCCGGGAAATAAACTGCCTCAAAAAGGCCCCGACGGGCGATCCCCATCGGGTTTTATGGATGCAGATTCAGCCTTAGTTTCCGAGTGAACGAGACTCCTGGGCTCAGTGTGGGGGAAGGAAAAGGTTCTAGTGGGCTAGTGTGAATCGATCACTTTACTGATTTACAACAAAGGTGACAGATCTTCTTGTGAAAACCACAGCGGAATTAGTTTAAGCAACATTGCTTCTAAACTTCTCGCTGGCATCGTACTCCGTCGATTGTCTGTCGCACGTAAAGAGTGCACGCATGAGAACCAGGCTGGTTTTAGACCTGGCCGAGTTTGTATAGATCACAATTCAGTTATCGCCGAATTCCATGGCACTGATATTCCTTTTGTAGGCGCACAATCTCTGTTTTCCTTGATTTGAAGCGGTCTTCGATTCATTCGACCGCTCTAAATTCTGGTGCTGCCCGAGAAGTCTATTTCGATATTATGATCCATTTACATTGAAAATCGAAGCCGAATTCGAGCTTGCGGCACTGTTCCTCCGGAGTTCGCCACGGAAAGTGGTGTTCTTCAGAGTTGTCCTCTCTCTCTCTCTCTCCTGTTCTATTTAACTTTGTTATAGATGTGATTGTGGAAACAACTCTATCCTCGTAGGCTGATAGCAGCAAACTGTCTGATCTAGAGTATGCAGACGGCATTGTGCTATCCAGTGACGATCCAGGTAAGTTGCAAGCTCTTCTAGATAGCTTGAGTGGCTGCGTATCCATGCTTAGTATGCGTTTTATACCTCCAAATTGTAGAATGCTACTACAAGTCTAGGTTGGTCGAGCACTCAGATTCAGTCAAATGGGGGAAGTAGTAGAAGTAAGCGAATTCGCTATCTAGGCAGCTATATCTCACCCCATGGACGCATCGTGAATGAAGTGTCGGATCGCATACAGAAGACTGGGTTGGCATTTGCCAACTTGAGACATCTGTGGCGCCGTCGCGAAACCCGGCTGTGTGTGAAGGGTCTAGTATATGCTACGGCAGTTAGGACAGATCTGCTATAGGGCGGAGAAACTTTGCCTTTTACGAAAACAGAGTAAAGATGAACTTTTGGTGTTTGTACACCAGTGTCTACTCAGCATTGCGCTAGTCTTTTGGGGCAACCGGACAAGCAGTGCTGAGATTTAACCAATCGCGATCCTCCACTGGAATGTGTGGTCGACCTTCATAGATTACACTGATTGGGGCATGTCAGTAGATAGGTTGCCACGGCGAGCGAGGTAGGTAGTGGGTGGAATAATGCTGAGGGTGGTCAAGCTAAGACCGAGCATGAGTGAATGAAAACCATAACCAGAATTCCGGGTCTGTTAGATTTGGATGGCGACCCCGGGATCATGGTAACCGGTGTTTAGGGACACCGAGTGTCATGCCTAGAAATGTAAACAATGGCGTTCGTTCATCTCGATTTCTTGCAAAACCAATGCTCTGAAATTCTGAATTTTCTCTTTCATTCTACTTTCAAGCCTCCCTTTCTTTTTGCTTCTGTTCGTCGAAATATGCAACTAAAAGACGGTAATTAGAACCGGCGCACGAAGGTGCATGATTAATGACTGCAAATTTTGAATAAACTTAGTTCGATCAACATAGCATCTAAACTTCTCGCTGGGATCATACTTTTAGTACACACCAGTGTGTGATAAACAGCAGTCAGGGTGGACCCCATAGTCACGAAGACCTGCTGGTAAGTGATGGTAACCGGTAACCTAAGCCCTGGAACCGAATAAGCTCCTGCTAGTTCAGATGTGGTGTAGAACCGGGCGACAGCAAACGTGGCTACCATCAAAGTTAGGTGGCGATGTCGGGGCTCGAACCTCGGACCAAATGGCACGTCGGCGACAGCGACTAAACCACTGCGCCACCACTTTGTCAATTGTCTGCTGCGGAGATTTTTAACCACCAAAATGAGAGGACGAAAAGCCAACATCCGGCTCGGTTATCCACTGGTTGTTCACCTAGTGGAGTTGGCTAAAAACCCTAATTCCAAACGAAGCAAGTAGAGGCAAACCAACGACGCACGCCTTCCTGGTCGTGGTTACCCGCTCGATTGGGTATCGAGGTGTATTATGCACGCTGGTCGTTGAACCTCGTCCGAAGGGCGGATGGTCCGTTGAATTGAACACCGACCCACAATGGAAGGCTTTTTTCACACACGCCACCCTTTGGGTCAGGCTTTAGCTAGCCGAAGGCTCTGAGTGTAGTCCCCCAGAAAATTCACCTACCTTGACCTGGGCGACCTAGCAGTATCATGCCCTCGAGAAAACCATGGACCTTCTTCATGTATTCATTATTGTCCCGGGATTTGTCCGGGCAGCGCGCCTAGCTCCTCTCAGCACTGGCCTTCAGGCTTATGACACGGCTGGAAACTTTCAAAACCTGAGTACTTGTTTCATGAACGTAATAAGCTTGCTACATCATGTAAATAGAAAATGAAACACGGTCTGATTAGCTTCCCGGTTGTCGTGTGGGTAGCATGCTTTCGTTCTGCCTGTGAGGTCCCGGTTTCGATCACACTGATCCAGTACGGTCGTTAGATTCACACTACTCATGAGATCCAACCAAGTCGAAACAGCTGTATGGTGCTTTCTAGCTTTTCGGTTCACGCTTCATTTACTTTATACACTATGAGTTCCAACTCAGAGTATCCCACCGTTTAATAGACCCGGACCGTGCTTTAGCACCCACGACCCAGGTGCAGATAATATATATTTTCGATAAGCCAAAAGATCTCAACATGTGTGAAGTTTTGACCCATTTCTGAGGCTTGAGTTACGTAAAACTTCCCCGCTGTATCCCTTCTCATCTGAGCTGGAAATTTTCACGTGACCCATGAATTTCTGTCTTGTCACATAACAAGAACAAAACTTCGGGCGTGCTGTGACCTTGTGTCCTAAGTGTTTGTCTGTATGATGTATTTATCATGCTCACCAAGACTATGGGTGCTTAAGAAGCGGCCAGGTGTATTTATTCTCCTGTCGACCCAGAGTGGTAAGTTACAACCAGTGAATGCCATTAAAATGGTTCTATGGGCTTGTTTGCTTTGACCATTTCTCTTTTTATACTGGGAAACAGCTTCCTTTTACTTATATCAACACGGCAACAATAAGCTGTTCTGCAATAGATAGGGCGGTTATGAAAAAAAGTCTGCATAGTTTCAAGACACTGCCACACTGTTTTCCCTCACATTTTGATAGGTTTTTTGCCGATGTAAATTCATGCTGTGTCTTATCTGTTTCCACTTTACTATGCGTAGCGTATATTCCTTCCCAAAGGATTCTACCATCCTTATGTGGATCCGCGATCGGGTGAAATTTCCATGAAACCTTCTTTCATTCAGTGGAACGCTGAAAAACATCATTTGTGGCATTTGTTGCACCACATGCGTAATTTATTGACCAGTCCAACAAGCTGTATTCTGGAGCACTCGGCCGAACAGCTTCAGTTCCTGTCTCGATCCTCTATCTACGAGGATCATTCATCCGGTCACAGTGATGTTATAGCCGGGGGCTGTTCGAGCTATCCAAACCCGGAAGCGGCCGATCTGATTGTGAACCACAAGGCGGAATTCGAGATTCGCGCGAGGCATTGTGTGGAGAATTTGTCTGTTTGGTGTGGATCGCAGACTATTCCAGCCGATTGGACTGATTTCTTTGTCGAGTAAGCATTCCTTGTGGCCTCGTTCCACGAACATCAGTTACTTCAAGATTCATTGCTGTGTTCAATCTTCCCTTTGGGTCTCACTGTTTTTCTCCATTGACGAATCCTCAAATCATCCTAATTATTGCTTAATATTTACCCACTCACCTGCCTGAAATAGGCGAGTTTCCAACGCCCAATAAACATAGCGAGCGGGGTGTTTGTTTCCATAATGTCAATATTACGGCTGCTTTGCTACTCAATCGCCCAAACCAGGTTTAAAGGTCAATTTGACGAACTTCATTCCGAGCTGTTAACACCAGGAAGGAATGAACTATATAGGACTCAGAACCATTTGAAATAGCTCATCCTTTTGTCTGCGCAGTACGGGACGGAACCAACACAGGCAGTCCTTTCGAAGGAATACCGGATAATGTTGGACGTCGAATGATCGATGGTACATTTTGTTTGGGTATTTGTCGTGCTCTCAAGATTCACCCACATCACAGCGTTTGTGAATTTTTATTTCGCTTTGAGTGCTTTTCAGGCAAAATGACCAAATACTTCAGATATCTATCGCGAATGGACGGCACCTTGACGTACGGTGATAGCGTATATATAGCGTATATATATACAGGATGGCTTCTATCATATCAGGAGATCTTATCGTGCACGGTGGAGGTCAGACAAAGTCCGGTTTCCTGGTCCTCCAGCTTTGATGGTTCGACTCAGGTTAGCTTCTAATTTGGCACAGTGGTGGAAGAGTGATCGATCCAAATGAATGGGCCTCTGCTCCGCTTTACCCGCAGCTCTGCGGTCAGGTTCTTGTTAGAACTTAAGGCTTTCGACGAGAAACCTAATCGTTCTGTTTAGTGGATGGACACCCTAGCAGTATCCGTCCATCAAACTCTGATGTGTAGACAAATTATAAGTAATTTCATACTGCATCGGTCGTCGCGCAAGATAATCAGGACCGCATCGGGTGGGGTGGCTGGTTATAAACGGTTTGCTGCACAGATATTCCCACCTTTGCCTAACCCTTGGCTTTTTTCCACCCACTACTCGCCTCGACAAACATCGCTCGCTGTGGCAACCTATCTGCTGACATGTGTAACACATACCCTAATCAACGTCCTCTGTGGAGGTCGACCAGTTGCACCAGTGAACGACCGCGATTACCTAAAACTCTACGCCTAAT